TGGACCTGAGAAGACACAACCAGTGCCAGTTTCAATATCATTTGACACTCCGCCACGTGAAAAACAGGTAAACTGAGCACAATGTTGAACTTTGACCCTGTGGTTCTTGGCAATGTTATTGAATTATGTAGCTGTTGGGGAAATGAAAAGTGTGAAAGCTGCAAACATTACGACAAAACATGAAAACCTTTTTGTTGAGAACTCAGATGGTGAGCCAAGGAAAAAATTGTAACATGGGAAATTTTGGGCACAAGTTATGCAATCGAGTCCATAAAACTAAACCAGATTTTGAACAATTGGACGTGCACAATCTAGCACAAAACTGACAAGGAGTACTGAGACATTCCACGGCATGAAAGTCGGCTTGAACACTGCTCGATAGCGCTAACCAATGGCCTTCCAACTTGGAAGGTTCATGGATATTAGTGTTAATTCCAAAGAGGGGAAGGCAAGCGCCATCGAGCCGAGCACAAGCTACATTCCAAGGCTTCATGGAATACTGGCCTGGTATGATGACGGGACGGCAAGACCAGACAAAACGGTCAAACCACAATTCGACAACGCAACGCAACAACCACCCACCTTGGCAGGCTCAATATTATCCCCTTGGTTAGCGTTATCGAGCAGTGCATGCCTGACTGTTCAAAATCTGGTTTAGTTTATGGACTCGATCGCATAACTTGTGCCCACAATTTCCCATGTTACAACTTGTTTGTTACCTCGGTGTACTCACTTCCAGTAACACTTTGTTGGAGCAAATCTCGAGTGAAAATGTGTAACTATTTTGAAAGATCATTATTTAACGGGAAAAATAAATTCACGATGTTTAGAAGGGTAGGCAGAAACTTCCTGTGATGGTTCTCAACTTCACCTAAATTACGCGTACATTTCAAACCCCTCTGTCATGCAGACAGTCTTCACACCTTTCTTCCAACTTGCTCTCTCGGTTCTTCTCACATTATACTTGGTACTCTTCGCACCTTATCAATCAATGGTGTTCTTTCTATCTATATGGCACCTTGTGCTATAAACACGGCTCTTCTCAGTTGAGAGGCCGCTCAGGGTGTGCTCAGGGTGTGCTCAGGGTGTGCTCAGGGTGTGCTCAGGGTGTGCTCAGGTTGTGCTCAGGGTGTGCTCAGGGTGTGCTCAGGGTGTGCTCAGGGTGTGCTCAGGGTGTGCTCAGGGTGTGCTCAGGGTGTGCTCAGGGTGTGCTCAGGGTGTGTTATTTCCAAGCTACTAATGCAATGTATTACACTGCCGCCCCGTGTGTAGGATTCCTCTCTTGTTGGGCAAACGGGAAGTTGCTTGAATTTTGCTTTGTTTGAGAAGTCAGTAAGAGTTGAAATGCCACAATAGCCTGCAACGCACCGCTCTACCCGAGCTAGCTACTATGTATGTAACTCAGGCTGTGCACGTTGTTGTGACTGCGGCCTCCGTCTGTAAACACTTTCATCATGTTCCTGTTGCACATTACTTATATGCTACACCTTACACTCCCAACCCCACCGGAATACTGACACAGCCTCTGCTGCACCCCCCCCCCCCTCTCCTAGCACCTTCCCTGTGAGTTTCACAATTGTAATCTGGCACCATCATCCCCTATTTATGCTAGCTTGTTCCTAGGCATTGTCTTTAGCTTGAGTACCAAGCCTAGTAACTGCTCTTCGTTGGATGGTTGCAGCACTTTGCCTCCTGCACAAGATGCTTTGTCCAGATACACATCCCATCTAAAGAGGATGCTGCCACCCCAGCAGCCCCAACACCGAACAGTCCACTTCACCCGTAGTACGTTTAAGAGATGTACTGCCCACGTGCACTAACTGGCCAATGAACTTCCAGTCCGCTCCCGAAACAACATGTGTCGAGCCTACCCTCACACAGTTGTCCCCGTGTGGAACCAGCTGCCCACCGGAGTCTTCTCTGGTCCATTCTGCACCAAGAACTTGCAACATTTCAAGGTTGCAGCCAAACGCTATTTGAAGATCAACGACAGGTCGTGGGCACATGACCATCTCTGAGTATGAGCATCATAACTGCCTCACCCCATGGCTCTTCAAATTCCGCTCCACATAATCCTCCTAATAACGTCTGTTCTTCTTTTCTCTCCTTCTCCTCCTTGCACTGTCTTTCATATTTTCCCCTCCTTCTAATGTACTGTCTCTCTTCCTAACATTTCATATCATGTACCTGTCATTGCTTTCATTTTTTCTTCTTCCTTTTTTGGTATGTTTTATGTCCCCAGGACGCCGAGACCTCAGGTCGGCTGAGGGCAAAAAGCCTCACCATCACTATGCTCCCATATGCAATTTTTCGTCTTTGCCTGTGAGCTGTATCATGGTAAAAAAAACGTCTGTTATACTGGTAGCAAGAGGTTGGCTGGTTCCTTCGTGCCTTCGTGGACCTTTTTCTTCTTTTGACAGCCTCTGCCTTGGCTTTTCTTCTGTACGGGTTAACCTGCGAGTGATGATCTGCTCTATGTTTCTTTAACGTAGAGCAGACCATCCGTGACTATTCACGTTACTGAGGATGGCCCGCCAAATGAAGATGACACTATTATTACAATAATTATTGCCTTCACTTGTTCATTTTCACCTCTTCCCTTACTGTATGCAGGAACAAGGAAGATATCTTTGCGCTTATTGGATATTTGGAGCAGGTGAGCAACTCCTTGTATGAATCAATGCTACACCAAAATGTTCGTTCATCACAACTACTACAGGTTATAAATGAACTGTTTAAACTTTGCACTTGAAAATACCGCCATTCCGGCAACAGGCTCTCAGCTGCACCAAATAGAACTTTGCCAATATTTCGCCCAATGATATGCAGGCATGCCCTGATGATGTCCAATGGGCGAAATATTGGCAAAGTTCTATTTGGTGCAGCTGAGAGCCTGTTCCCGGAATGGCGGTATTCTCAAGTGCAAGAAATACTTCCTCCGTTAACAAAAACTTCGTGATGGATTTTGATGGATATGAAAACGCTTAGAACAGGTCAAGAACAGTTTGTATCGACTGCAAATCACTGGACGAAGGTGATTCAGGCTATGACTATGTACAGCGTCTTTGCAAGAGACATTGTTGGCGGAATGAGCAGAGAGTTCAGTTTGCGTCGCTTTCGCTCGACTCATTTTTGACCTGCGTCGCTGTCGTCATCTGCTGCACGCGAGTCGTCATCTCTCTCGAGTCGTTGTTCCGCTCGTTTCAGCCTTGCCTCGGCTTCTTTGATCACACTCCGCTGACCTTGATGTCACCGTCGTTCAAGTAAGTTGGCTTTCAAGCTGCGTGATCCGCCGCGATGGCGATTACTCGTTTCCACCAGGGAGTCGTGAAACATATTTTACGACTCCCTGGTTTCATCGTCGCTATCCAGAACTCCGCGAAACGAGGAGTAAAGGCACAGCCAAACTGATTCCATTTTCCCTAATGGATACCCTGCCAGCACTGAACGGCAGCGGCTAGCAAGTCCAATCGCCTTTCTTTAGCCATGAGACTCGCATCGGACTGCAGACTTCCTGAAAGAATGCATGGTGATCATCATTCGAATCTGGGCTTTGCGCAGGTTGAACGAGAAGTTCTGAACTGCAAGCCCTCCTAGTTCCTTCGTCAGCTGGCCCAACTAGGTTGCACTCCACCATGGGTCTGCGCCAACCGCCAGTTTCCACCAGGTTCGGCAAGGGTTGCCTCGCGTTCCGGGGCGCCCAGCTGTGGAACACATTACCCAGCAATATACGTGCCATCTCCACGCTCCGCCAGTTCCGCGCCAGCATGATCCCGCACACACTTACTGGCCTTAGTACCTAGAGTACCAAACGTCCTGTTGATGATCAGCTGGCTTAGTTTTTCTCCACCTCTATCCTAATTACATCAGTCCCCAATTTCATTTATTACTGCTTTCTATCTGCATTCGCCACCTTTTCATTGGGCAGATCTGCCCGTTTGGTTTGCGAATTAAAATAAACACAACAACAACAACAACAACTTGAGAAGTTGAGTTCAGAATTATTTTCATTGAGCCGTGCGATCGGAGCAGCTCCTTGTTCACTCGCTCATTGTGTGGGCTCGCTGCTCCATTTTATCGCTCTCTATCGCTCTCCAACTTACTTAGTGCTAAAGTGGTAGAGAGGCCAAGCAGCGCAATATATCCCTCGTAGAAGTGGTATATCAGTTTCGCTCGCCATGACCTATGATGACTGTCATCACCTATGT